CAAGCAAAGTCCTGTACATCTGTAGCTGCAGAAAAAAAAAAAAAAATTCTCAAAGTCAAAATTAAGGGCAGAACCTTGAAAGTAGCATTCCTTGCCCTGTGGGAATAATCAACCTGTGATCTCAGGCGAAGCAGGTGAGGCCAGGAGACAGAATATTCAAACATCTTCAAAGTACTGAAAGAGAAAAGGCCTACCGAGAATCCTACATTCAGCAAAGCTATCCTTCAGCAGAAGGCAAAAGAGGCCGTTTCCAGACAAAAGCTCAGACAATCTGCTTCCAGGCAAGGTGCTCGCCTCCTGGTGAAAGATACTTTAACTCTTTTTGTGGTACTGGGGATTGAACCCAGGAGTGCCGAGCTGCATCCCTAGCCATGTTCTTCCTTTCTTAAATGACCGAAGCAACTGAACACAGCAACACCTGGAAGATATGCGCAGAAGCGTACCGCATGTACCATAGGGAAACGCAGGTTGCGGGTGAGCCGGGCTGCGGGCTGCGCTACAGGAGTTCTGACTTCTTCTGCTGGTGTGGCGCAGCAACCGAGGCCACGCAGTCTGACAAAGCACCACAGAAGGCTGCTCAGGGGAAGAGCTGTCTCCTCGGAGTTAAGCTAGTGCAACTCTGTAGCTCCTTAGGATGTATATGAGGAAACAGCCGCAAGCACGGGATACGGTGAAAAAACCATTAAAATGTTCAGCAGCAAGTGTTCACTTGGGCACAGGAAGGAGGAACAGAGTTCAAATGTGTAACCACGACGTACCGATGTCTAGAGGGACTCCCAACAATTCAACCCAAAGCGGCGGGGTGGCACACGCCTGGAGTCCCAGCGTTGGGGGGCCGAGGCAGGAGGATGCCTGCGAGTTCAACGGCAGCCGTGACTGCGCCGTGAGACCCCGCGGTAACTGTCAGGCTGGTACCAAGCAGGTCCAACTGCCGGCTGCCTGCAGAGCCCCAGGGAGGTGGAGGTGGCCGTCCGTGCGGCCAGGTCGAGGGCCCCTCGGCGCAGTGCTTTCCCCCAGTTCCCGGGCCCGGCACTCCAGCCTGGCCGCCGTCCCGCCAACCGGGGGCGGGGGTCCACCTGGCGCCTGCCCTGCCCTAAGCGGGCCCGGCTGAGCTCACGCGCTGAGCCACCTCCCCTGGGGAAGTCAGCGGCGGAACAGGAGCCCCAAGGCCGCCAGGGGCCCGGCCGGCCCCAGGGGAGCAGTCTGCAAGCCCACCCCAGGGGCCGGGCTGGGCGCCCCCTTCCGGGGTGCGGCCCCTGTCCGCGGCGAGGCCTGAGAGCAGCACTCCCGGGGCGCGGCGGGGGGCCCCCGACCGCAGCCCATCCTCGGACCCCCAGACAGCGGGCGCGCCGCTGCGGGCCGCAAACCCTCACCTTCCGGTTCCTCATGAGTGTAAGCGGCGTCGCCGCCCCCGCGCCCGACCTGCGCGGAGCGACCACCCCTCCGCCTCAACCCGCGGCTCCGCGGCGTCTGGCGTCATCGTGGGCCTGACCAATCAGAGCCCGCCATCGATGGCACGTGACCCAACAAAGCCGTTCTTTACGTAAGCAGGCATAGCGCAGCTCCCCGGGTTTAAAGCTGAGGGGGTGCACGCCGGAACCGGAAGTTTGGGGTTTGCGGGCAGACGCGTGCGGAGTGGGGCCGACACCGGGGTGCGGAGCCGAAGGGCACGGCCTCTGCCCGGCGGGTGCAGCGCGGGCACAGGCGGCCTCCCGCCAACCGCTGCGCGTTGAAATAAGCGAGGCTGCCTCGTGCTTTCCTAACTTACATGCTAGAAGGGCTTTGTCAGAAGCGTTGGGTTTTCCAGTTCCAGCGCGAGGGCTGAGAGGTGGTGTGATTCGCATGTGAGGCCCAGGATCGTAGTCAGGGGACGCATAAAACGTGTGTGTGTGTGTGTGTGTGTCCTGCTGGCTCCTGCTCCCGTGGCGATGCATCCTTCGGTGATCAGGGAGACCCCCCCGAGGGAAGGCTGCTCGAGGGGTCCGGCTTTGGCGGTGACCGCAGCCCTTGTAGTCTCGGTGTGCACCCTGCGCACGTGACACTTGCACGCTCCTGTGGCCTCCCCCACCTTCTCGAGGGAAACGACAGATGTGTGACTGGTGGAACGGAAATTAATCTAATCGCCCGCCAGCTGTTAAAAAGCAGCGCGGTGCTCTATGCCGCTCCCAGCCCGCCCTGTTTTCGCTGAGGTCAGCGTCTCGACGGATGTGGCTCAGGGCTTTGGGTTCTGTGGAGCCAGGGTTTGCTCCTCACGACCAGTGTCCCGTCCTGGGAACACAGGCCATCGAGGTTAACGCCCCCGAGGACTCGGGGTCTTTTTCTCAGACTTGCTCTGTGAGTCCCCCACTCCCAGCCCAGCGGGAATGGGGTGTGCAGTGCTCAGCTGCGCAGGCTCCATCTTCGCCTCCTCGACCCTGTCTGTCTCTCCTCGTTGCACACTTCCGATGCGGGGCGGCTTCTGCGATTCCACACTGCTCCCTCCACGGCCTCTGGACATCATGGGTCAACGGCAGGGGTCCTGGTATAGCCCGCTGCTTCAGCCTACATGTGACCTTCGTGGCCCGGCCAGGTGTGCGCACACGGTGGGCGCTTGAACGCTTGCCGATGGAGTGTGGCAGACCGTGGAGTTCGCCCGCTGCTTTCCCAGCCTCCTCTGGGCCCGCTGGCTGCAGTGCCCCCGCCCGCGGCTGTCTACATGGGCCTACATGTCAAGCTCCTTCCACCTCTGTCCCTCTGCCCAGAGACCTCTCCCCACCCTCTCACTCCCCACTTGCCTGGCTCCTCCGTTTTCAAACTTCAGCCCTTGTCTTAGTTACTTCTCGTGGCTGAGACACCATAGGAAACACGACTGAGGAGAGGTTTGTTTTTGCTCACAGATTGTAGATGTTTCAGTCCACAGTCGGCTGGCTC